ATATGTATATATATATATATATATATATATATATATATATACATAGATACAAGTTTATTAGGCAATAAATATAAACAATCGGCTTCAAAGCAACGCCTCCACACTCAATGCTATATACTAAGAATGTAAACGAATTAGTATTTGAAATATTTTCGTAAAACTAGATAAATATATGTAGGAGGACAATATGAAGCTTCAGTAGCTTATCACGTACTTTTTAAATAAGACTAGAAAACTGGAATTAGAAATTAAAGCTAATCATATTTCAATCATAATCGTTCAAATAAACGATTAAATTGCCCTAAGTTCATTAACATAAGAATTTTTTTAAAATTAAACATAAAAACTTCATTAACAAAAAAATATTGAAATTCAGTATAAAACCTATAATAACAATGTATACTATGCATTAGTCAAATTCTATAATATATTCTTTATTATCAATTATTACATTATGATATATTATTAAAATTCTACAAATATTGAATTAAATTCGTTAATATCACAATGAGACTTCCTTTATTTTTTTTATCGATAATAAGAGTGAAGAATAATATTAACAAAAGCTTTTATCATGCACCTTTAATCGTACTTTTCTCAACCAAGAGTCCAAGAAAATTTTTTATAATTTAAATCGGAAATTATGTTTCTAATAAACATTGAATATTTTTAATCTGATCTACCTACACTCCTTCAGTGCATTAATTTTATCAGTTTTATTAATATATTTAAAACAGCCATATATAAAGCGTAACTTTACATTAATTTTTTTCCCTCATTGAACATTATATTTATCACTGATCAATAATTTTGTATACGGTCTATTAAAAAATAAATAGTATTATGAAATTGATCTGTAGAAATATATAAAATTTTGTTTATTTTATCATAAATTTAATAAATAACGCCAAATTTTTTATTAGGATTTAAAGTATAGTATACAAAAAATTGAAAACGTTCGTTCTCAGAGTTATTCTAACAAATCATTTATAATTTATGCTTTTTGTTACGTTAATGAGTTAAAATGATTAAAATATGAGAGTCAGGTAGGATATTTTTATACAGATTAGTAATAATATAAAATTATGATAGTAGTAAGTTTGAATATTGTCAACTTTAAGAATTAATCATCACCTTAACAGTGTTTTGACATTATATTTGGAATCTACTTGGCCATTTCTTTAAAATACTTCCTAATTAATTGTAAACGATATAAATTAAGAGAATTACAATTATATTAATACAAATATAATATATTTTGCAAATATTTAAAGATCTTCGTTTAATATAGTCGTATTTATGGACTATAATTACAATAAGAATTTGCATGAGCAAACCACTTTTTTCCCTTCCAAATATTTTAATTACAAGGGTTCTTTTTAAACATATATATTTCCTTTCATTTATGTTGAACAATTATCAATTAAGATTTTAGTTAATAAACTTAAAAGTCTTGGATTTAAAAATTATTAGCTGAATGCTAGTTAGATCGAGGAAAAGAAGCATTTTTTAATGATAAATTTATTTAAAGGAGAATAGTATTTCAGATTGACATATTTTGAAAAAATTGATAATGAATTATTAGAATGTACCGAGCAAAAAGCACCACCCTTTTTAAAATTAAAGTATCACGCAAACGCACTGTCCCAACTGCCATCAAATTGTCGTTCCCGCGTAAAGGAAATTCAACTTCCGTTTATGGTAAATAATTTCTCTCTGAATAATACTAACATGCACTCGGTCATTATTTAAAAAGAAAAAAAAAATCAAACGGATAATTCACGATGTTTCATTAACGTGGCCAATCCCCTAGTAAAATCTCGTTTGAAATCGTTGTATGTGACCTCCTCTCGTCATTCCATCTCACACCAATCACAACTGTTCGTATGTGTTTTCCTTGTTACGGTGGTGGCGACGCTGACTACACTTGCACACAATAACGAACACAATACTTATGATGCACTCTGTCTATAAAATAGTTCTCCTTTTTTTCTTCATTTTTTTAGTTATGCGAGGATGTGTAAACGGTGGTGACGTAGTTAAGTGCTAAGTGAGCTTTGTCGTTCGTTTTGCTATATTGCCGACTATTGATTATCGATGACCCATCGATAAGATCTTTATTGTATTTAGACCTTTGGAAATTATTCGAGATAATAATAATTTCATTGAATTAATACAAGCTAAGATTTTTAGGATCCCCACCCCGGTCTCGCTCATGCCCAACGATCATTAAACTAAAAAGAAATCGATGAATACATAATGCCCCGGAAGCTTAGTATGCAGAGGAATGACGAACGAGTCAAAATCATTTCGTCACTATGCTTGTCCATGAGTGTCTCTTTTTTCATTCTACGCTCGATTTCATTAAAATTACAATGCAACACGTTTACGTATATTTGGTCGAAACAGAACATACGTTTCTATGTTGTTGATTGTTGTTCAGTAGATTTAATTGTCTTAAATTTCGTTTATCCTATTTTAGATTAAATAATTCTTCTATGATAAGGAGATTATAATACGCTTCTGTAAGTTCAGTTTTTTTTTTTTTTTTTTTTTTTACCGTGCATCATGATATCCATAATATATTTATATTCTGAAGTAAGTCAAAAATCATAGTTCCGTTCCATCTGTAGCAGTAAGTTCTTGCACAAAGGAAAGTATTAAGAACGATTGAATTTGATTGACTCCATAATAATAAATTTGAATGTTATTCGTTGTTTTTAAAACACACTTTTACACGAGCGATGATTCTTCATAAGAAGATAATGAATATCTTAAATAATAAACGGATGGTTCTTCAAATATGCATTACTCGCATACATAAATCATAAAAGTAATTAGTTATTCATAAAGCCTCTTATCGAATTTCATGATTTTAGTCATTAATCAATTTTTACTTGCACTTTTACGAAGTTCTCATCGGAATATCTTTGAAAATTAAAAAGTTTTACCACTCATAGATAGTAAGGGGAATTTACTAGAAATTTATTAAATCATAAATATTATTGAAATTTAGTTTAGAGGAAATGTGTTGTCAAGAGTCGAATAAAAAAAAAAAAAAAAAAACAGGAGAATAACCTGAACCTTGATTTAAATACTACATGACCTTTGTAATTTTCTACGTATACGTTTGTGCAAATACCAGATATAAAGAGAACGAACAACCGAGAAACACAAGTAAAATGGATTGCTGGATGGCTAGACGGATATATAGATAGATAGATTAAGAGTTGAATATAGTTAGACAAAAAGTAGATCTATAGATACATATCAGTAAATAGGTAAACAAACAAGTAGATAAAAATAAATAGATAAATAGATGCAAAATAGATATATGAATGGATAGATAATTAGATAGGTAGATAGATTGTTAGGTAAGTCGGTAGGTAGGTAGGTAGGTAGGTAGGTAGGTAGGTAGGTAGGTAGGTAGGTAGGTTGGTAGGTAGGCAGGTAGATAGGTAGATAGGTAGATAGGTAGGTAGGATTGAGGGGGGTGGACACGAGGGGGAGATTAGAGAGAGAGAGAGAGAGAGAGAGAGAGGGAGACAGAGAGAAACACGGACAGACAAAGACAGAGAGATTGGGAACACAGCGCGATATTGACGGTTGAGAGTAAGAGTAAGGAAAAAACCAATAAGGGCCTACTAAAAGGGGCAAAAAGTCAAACGAAAGAAGAAAAAAAAATGGAGAATGAAGGATGGAAAAACAAGAAGGTAAAAGAAATTAGGAAAAAAAAGACGTTTGATATGTGGTAACTGGATGGAGAATATAATAATAAATCACGCAGTTAATTCATTAAACGAGTAAAGTAAGCGAGAGGAAAAATAGCACAGAATGTCCCAATGGCTTAACTCCTAATCTACGATAAAATAAATAAATAGAAAGTCGCAATTTATAAATGTCGAAGTACATATTAAATCAAATATACTTATTAACTAGAAAACGCTCGAGTACAATTAAACATAGGGAATCGCATAATCGCCAACAAAATGGTTGACATTAATTTCCAGAATTAATTCTTATTTATCCTCGCCTAGTTAATACAAAATAGCAGGAGCAAATTGCATTGCGACGGCGAATGTAAAACTGACAAAGATTCGAGCAAAAGTATGACTGGGACAAAATATAAACGACTGCTAGGTCCTTGGAAAAATTCAAAAATTCTGCAGGCGGAGAGGTAACGACCTCCCCAAGAGGCCTTCGGCCGATAAACAACTCCGGATGTTTCCGGGTAAGAGGTTCCCTAAAGTCCTACACACGCGTCTACGTACTAAGAACTCTTACAGGAGTCAAGCTTGTAGGGACGTTTCACCTTGCATGTCGCCGCCACGGTACCATCAAGACTATCTCTCTTCTTCCTTACCCCCCCCCCTCCCGCCCACACACACTCAAACCACCACCATACCGCCGCCCACCACCCCACTATTCCCAGTCGCTCAGCGCCACGCTCTCGCCAACTCACACTCTCTCATTCTCTCACTCACATTGCGTCTCTCTTGCTCAGACGGGAGCGACGCGCGAATAAAGCGAAGCGGGGGATCGAAAGAATAGAGCCAGCCACACGGCTCGTCGTACGAACTTGAACGAGTAAGGTTAGATTTTTGGCGGTGCGCGGCGACGACCGTCACTAGGTCTTCCCAACGGGGGGACGTCCTCCGTCGGCTAAAGAGTAAAAAAAGCAGCGATCGATGAATAATCGAGACAACGACTTGGCGCGAGGTCTGACGGGCAGCTTGACAATGATCATCGACTGGTCACCGTCGCCCGTCGCTGGGCTCGTTAAAGCAACGACGTCAGCGGCAGTTACGCGCGGGCAAGGTGAGAACGCGCGCAGAGACCCGGTGAAGGTACAAACTTCACTCGAGAGCGGGGATCTCCTCCTGCCCCGTCACGGCCCATAGTACGCGGACAGTATTAATTTGACGGTGGAAAATATGATGATCATGATGATCATGATGATGATAATGATGATGATAATCAATGGCGATGCACGTACTCACCACTTTTAAAGTCGGCTCTCTTCCACGGCGCGCTGCCTCTCACATTTCCGCGTCTTGTTGTGTGGTGCGCTACTCGATCCCCCGGCTCCCCTTACCACGTCGCATGGAAGTCGAGCGACTGCCCGGTCTTGCGTCCCCCAGGCCTTCTCTACCCGGGGCGAGCGAGCTCACGCACACGAACGCCTACGATATATTTGTTAATCGGGCACAAGGCGCGACCGGCCGATGACTCTCGCGCGCTCCTATCTATGCGAGCGCACGCACACACGCGCAAAACACGCATATACCCGTATAAACATACGAGCGTGGATGTGCATTTAAGCGCGCACTCTATATATGTCTGAGGGCGCACAATTACTCGTGTTTATTTGTTTATTTATATGCGTATTTGTGCGAGCGAGAGAGAGAGCGAGAGAGAGAGAGAGAGAGAGAGAGAGAGTAAGAGAGCGCGCGTGTGCAATTATTATTTATTTGTGTTGTATATGCGTACGCTATATATTCCTATTGGGCACTCGAGCCTCCTAACGTCGTTCGGGCACTGAGCAAACTGAGAGCCGATGCCGTCGTGCCGCGCTCCACCGTTAGTCTGTTTAGGACAGAGGGAGATAGACTTTGTTTGCGACTTCGTGTTCGTGTGCGCGCTCGCGCGAGCGAGCGAGATGGAGGGAGTGTGTCGGCCGGGGATTTGGGGCCGGAGAGCGGGTGGGAAGGAGAGAGCGAGTTACGTTGATGAGGGAGAGAGGATGGTGGTGGTGGGAGAATTCTCATGGCGTCGAGGCGGTGTTTTCATAGGTAGCCGCGAGGCGGCAGCACTTTACGGCGCGAATGTCCGCTGTTGCATTCGAAAGAAACGACGCTCGGATGATCGCAAGGGCTATAATTTGCCAAATACGTATTCACGGAGGCATTGTTTTGGATTTGGTGATGGATACTTTGATACTGCCTTGTCGACAAGGAGGACGGGCAAACCCGAGGACTCGTCGACCGATACGTTGATGTAACGACCGAGGGTTCGCGAGGTCGTGAGTTGGGTGGACGGCCGTTATGACGCGGAGGTCGCCAGAGCGGGAATTTTGAAAACAGCCGAGGGAGATGGAAAGGGATGATCGTTGCGAAATAGCCTCGATGATTGAATAAAGAAAGTAAGAAAGAGCTTCCGTTTCGTTCGAGAGACTGGCTGTTTCATGGCCATTGATGTAATTGTGCTGGTGGAGAGATTTTGCGCCATTAGCTTTTCTCGCTTGAGCCCCAAGACTTGGGAAATGAAGTATCGATTCCGTGAGATCTAAAGATCAGGAGGTGCTAATTCTAGATTCCATATAATAGCCAATGTTTCATATTTCAGTTTATTCGTAAATATATTTTATTTTGCATGCTAAACACTTATATTACTTATATTATTACACTAGTCTATGACGAATATTATAAATCCTTAATCTTAATATTGACGTTACAGTATTAATTCATTTGTTCAGATGCATTTTAATTTGATTTTATTTTGAAGCATGCATCATGTTATTGCTAATCGGCCAATGCAGTCGCTGTCGCATATCTTTATCTTAAATTTCATCCTCTTTTTCATCTTGGCACTTTAAATATACACAAAAGCTAATAGTATATATATATATAATATCGTAGATTTTCAATGCTTATACAAGCATCACCATTAACTAGTAAACTCCATAGAAATAGAAGATTCGGTGAAATACCGTTATTTGATTTTAATAAATAAATAAATACATAATATATATATATATATATATATATATATATATAAATCCATAATTTTGTTTATATATGTTTACACTACTAGCATAAATTTATTCGTATCACATACTATATTGACTATCGTGTTACAGGCGGAACTTGGACAGTTTATTCCTCCCTCCCTACATTCATACACACTCTCTCTCTCTCTCTCTCTATCTCTATCTCTTTCTCGCTTACTTTCTCTCTCTCTCTCTCTCTCTCTCTCTCTATCTCCTAAAAAATTTCACTTTTCTCTCGACAATTTCATAACTATTTTTTTCTTGAATTTATTCCCTGTGTTGCACATCTACATTGGCACATACAAATTTCCCATTTCAACTTTTGGTTTTCAATCAATGCCTGCTTTTTTCATCACTCTTTTGAGTACCGAAAACTTAAACATTACAAGTGTAAATTTATAAAACCATTGTTCACTCTTACTATACCGTAAAATTATTATAAAACTGTGATTATTTTTCGTAAAACTTATTTTTTCTTTTACATTTACATTACTTTCTAAGTAATTTGCTGTTTCATATTCTTTCGCACATACATGTTTTTTATCTTTATTAAATGCTTATTCTTTTTCAATGCATTTTATTTATATAGTTATGTAAATATATTAAGTGGTTTTGCGTTCCCTTCTTATAGGCATCAGTACTTTCGATTACAATGATCACAATTTAATAGTCTGATACATCTTATTCATTATTCTATACTTTCATTTTGTTTTCGTAATGCAAATAGATTTTATAAAAAGTACTAAAGTACATAAACATGTTTACTTTCTTAAAAAATACATGCTGAAATTTTCATAAACTTCTTTAACATATGCTGCAAATAAAAATACAAGAAAATACATTCTTACAAAATAATCATCTACGAAAGTGTTTATTTTAACATAAAACTTTTAATATATTTATAACTAATCAGTAGCTTATGAATTAATTAATCTTATATGAATTTGTACAATAATATTTATAATTCTCTCATATCTCGGTATATATTAATGATTATTTAAGATTGAATTACTTTCATTTTAAAACGTACTTGGTAATTTTTAGTTGCAGTATTCTTTGACTAGATTTATCATATTCTTATTATAATTTATGAATAAATAAATTAAATCGTATACTAATATTTTATTTAAAAAATGAGATCAAATATTAGTGTAATTATACGAACGGTATATTTTAAATATATATTTTAAATTATAAATATATATTTTTATTTTTATTAGATGTCGTAATAATATAATGAAGACCTACCAAATCGATCGTGTCTCAAAAATAATTTTATTTAAATTATAAACATATGTATATATATATATATATATATATATATATATATATACATATATACGTACATTGACTTCTGTACCAACCAAATATGTTTGCTCGTACAATATCTCTCTCTCTCTCTCTCTCTCTCTCTCTCGTCTCTGTCTCGTCTCTGTCTCCCTTTAACTATCTCGGTCTCTTATCTGTATGTATACCAACTATCATTGTATAAGACTTAATAAACCATCAACAAGTTATTACGTAATACTCAGAAATATTATTCTAGTAACATTTTTTCGATATTCCGTCGTTCAATAAATCCTATTAAATTATGAACGTTAAGATTACAAAATATAGAAACTTCAGTTTTTATTTGCTTGATAAAAATTCCTTTACTTATATTGATTTATGATCGATATGATAGGCCACTTGGTAATAGTGGATATATTATATCCTCTAAAAATTGAATGTTATTAAGCTTTTTAAATTATGCTGAATAATTCTATTCTCATAATAGTAAACGAAACATTAGAACGAAAACCATAAAATATTGAAAAATTAGTATGACTATTGTAGCAAATATTTGGCTTTATTTTTAATTTACAATTTCAAACTATAAATTTACCTATTGCCTAAATTTGAAAATCATGGTAAAATGACTATACTTTCTAAAAGACGTTCTATTATCTATTTAAATTGTCTTATAATGCAAAGCAATTGAATTGACATGATACATATACTCGAAAGCACATGTAAAATACCGAAGCCATTATTGATCATTTGCGATATATTTAGTGTAAGATCTCTTTTTAAATTCCTTTCAATTACACTTGCTCTTCTTACCTCTTACATTACGCTATTAGCCGCGCGAAATTTCTCTTGAAATAATGAATCATGAAAAGCTCTGTGTAAAATTGACATTTTAAATAATTCCGGCTTAGAATAATTCACAATTGGTATTGTGAGGAGATCGTCCTTATCATGTGCTTATCGCCGTTTTAAAAGCAAAAGTAAGCGCAGTAGGTTTGAAAGAAAATTCAAGTAGATTCGCCCGGGGCCTCCGCAGGACTAACAGCGTTCACCGGCTGCTGGGAATTGGTCGGCTGGAGGCCTTGGAGCTCTTGGACACCTTGAAAGAGCTTGCCGGGGAAGCCTTGCAGGAGATCGTAGGAGACGGGCGTTGGTGGCAGGGTCGTGGTGTGGGCGTGGGGCGATTGCAGAACCGCGATGACTCGCCGCAGCTCGTCGAGGGCATTTCCTGCATTGCGAATGACGGATTAATTGCACCGATGCTCGTGTGCGATCGAGAGCTTTCATTAGCGCCTTTGAGCTTCGAAGTAATTGTCTTATAAATAATCTTTAACGCATAAGAGTGAGTATTTCACTCGATCGTTGCTCAATTTTATCGTATTCATTGCCACGGTTATATACACATTTGTTTAGCTTTTTCAATTAGTATTACAGTTTTCAAGTGTTTTATCTGGATAATATTTTAATATTTTTGCTTACTATATAAATATTGATTCGTATGATTTTAGGTCTGCCAGATTACGTGTGATTATAGTAATTATTAACAATATATATTAACTCGAGAATGGCTTTTACTTAACAAAATTTCTTCTTGAAAGATCGGCCTTTGAATTTTGATATTTATTATTCGAGTAAGCCATTAATAAACAAAAAAAAAGAACAAAAACAAAAACATAAAACATTAACCATAATTTTTTACACACGTAAAAAGCAAAGAATAATTATTATCGTGCAATATAATCAAGTTATTATATATATATATATATGGTAAGTGTGAATTATTTGTATTTAATTATATTTATTTATGATGCAAATATTTAAGTTACGTTGTAACTTTAATATGTCGAAATGTTTTTAAATTTTCATTACGTAGAATGCATATGTTAAATATTCTTCATTCATATTTATAAAATTAATTAATAAAACGATTTTAAATTGTGTTTATTAACTATATATGAATAATAAAAAAATTTTAAATAAGGATTAACTTTATCAATTCATTACTTTAGTATTAAATTTTATTTTTCCAAATTTTGACCTAATATACATGTATATATAATAATATTAAATAAAAATATATGATAGTATATCGAATTTAAATATATCCAAATCAATTTTAACTGCAATTCACATCTAAGTTTTTGAATTACGAAATAAATTATCTACGATAATATTTTTTAAATAAGTTTCATGGTGAAAAATATATTAAAATCCATAGTGTTAAACATAACTTTTGAGCCAATGATTGTAATAGCTTCAAGTACATTACTATTAGCAATTGACTGCAATCGTAGGCTCAATAAATATTGGCGCAGTGCAAAAATAATTTATGTAATGCAAACTAAATGACGTTCTTACGAAAAAATTAACTTTGTACGTATGACTAGGAGAATTGTGATTTCTTGCAAATAATTAGAGACCAGCGGCGGTCTTTAATATTCAAAATTACTGACCTTGCATAAGTATGTAGTTTTTGGCTAGTAACAATGTGGCGATTTTTGATAATTTTCGAACGGATGGACTATGTGCGTATGGAATAACTGAACGGAGTTCATCAAGTGCATCATTAAGATCGTGCATTCTTCGTCGTTCCCGGGCATTTATGTTTAATCTAACGCTCTTTCCTTGCCTCGTTGTCTTCGACTTTGAAGGACAATTTAGTCGAGAAGCTCCAGATCTGTAAATATATCGAATTTCATGTCACAAAGTTGTGCCAACCTTAAATATATGTTTTAAGAACAGTGTTTTATACGTTATTTGGTTTCCAATTAATAACAATAATAATAATACATTAATATAATAATGTTAAAATGAAATATTAACAAGCTCTTATTATTCTGATATTTTCATATTTCAATGCTAGCTTTAACAATTTAAAACCCTTAAATAATGTTTGTATATATTAATTTGCATCTTTGCACGATTTGCAACTTTTCTATTAAAAACGATTTGTACATTCTCACAAATTTTCATAATCAGCAAATTATCATCATATAATATTGTATTAAACAAATGATTATATATATATATATATAAGGTAATTAATAAAATTTTTATAATTTATAAATTATTTATAAAATCCAAATTATCAATATGATGAAAATAATTATAATCTAATATATGAATGATAGAGAGAGAGAGAGAGAGAGAGAGAGAGAGAGAGAGAGAGTGCGTGCGTGCGTGTGCGTGCGTGTGTGTGCGTGCGTGTGCGTGTCCCTGCACTTGTATTTAAACGATGAAATTAATAAAATTATTTTAATTCTTTTAATAATAAATGTGAATAGTTTTATATAATACAATAATATAACTGCAGATCAACGAATAATCACGTAAAAGTAATATCTCTTACTCTCTTAAATTTCAATCAATATTTATTTAATAAGATAATGCATTCATACAACATTTGAAGAATTTTGTTATATATGATAATATTACCATGCATTCCACAATATTTTCTCAATATACATTATATTCGGAAAATTTAGACGCTGATTAAGTGAAATTTAATCAATGCTTGGTAATAGCGTAATTATTAATAGTCGGCTATTTATGGATTTTAATGAATATTTTCAAAAAATTATCCATTGTATGAGCTGTATTATTAAATAAACCTCGAATAAATATTTCCTGAATTATTTTCAACCATAGATTATTTTAAACCGAAATATAATATTTCATAGTCAACTTATCAATCTACAGTACAATATCACAAATTCTCTCATTATGATCACATTAAAGTTGTATTCAATGTATATATAAAATTAAAGAAAAAAACGTAATACTTAAAATTATTTTAATAAATTTGATAGAGTTCTTGCTTGAATTGGAGCCTGACTCAAAGTTATTAAACAATTTAAAAGATAAGCAAATTAAGCATTATTAGATATATCGGCTAAAAAGGGTGAATGTCACATATGAATTATTAAACAAATATTCGCCAACCGTCTGTGTGATTGACGGTATCGTGAAAGTCTGCGCCACCGTCGATAATCACGGATTTGCAAGCCATATATAAACTGTAGCGGATCCGTAAATTCTCGACAACGGTTGAGCCGAGCTGCGTGCTTCATGAATTCGTGAAGAACCGTAAAGGAAAAGAAGACAGACGTGATGACACGAGCGACGCGAGCGCAGCCTCGCATTAATAGAACGGAAGCGTGACTAGTGAAAATAGCTTTCACGAATGCGCACTACGGCATTGCAGCGACGGTGGTGTCCTAGAAATAAGGAGGCAGCTACCTCTCGTGGTCGGGTCTGTTCTCGTCGGTGAGGGCCGAGTTGGTAGCCGAGGACGAGGAGGAGGCGTGCGGCTGCGTGGGCTGCTGCTGGAAATAAAAGCCACCAAGGCCGACCGCTCCGAGAGGTGTCCTTCTGCCCGGGGCACTCTGGGGGTTGTCCGAGGCCGAGTAGACCGTCGGCGGGCCCGACATTACCGGTTGTCCCGAGCCACCCGGGCTCGGATAGCCCATCGGCTCCAGGGACGGGTTGGGGTTGCCGTGCGACGGAAGCGCGTGCTGTAAGTAAAATTGCCGTTAGTTGCGCGTATCCTTATGGATGAGGGCAAAATAGGGTCGTAATCGTGGTCCGTGAGCATCCGGTCGATATGCGCTTAGCTTGCTTTTTTTTTTTTTTTTTTTTTTTTGGGAAATGGCCCGAAGATTCTGGGAGACGTTAACCACACATTCTGTTATTTAATTTATTGACGCTTTGTAGGACGGTTGAGAACAAATGACATTAAACTTTACAGCTTTATATTTCTTCGCATTTTTATTTAGGACAAAGAAATTGCCGGCGTTTAATAGATTGTATTTTACGAGTCCGTGTCGTTAATTAATGGGATTTGGTATTTAAATAAAGCTAGATAAGCTGTTATAGTTTAGAGTTTCAGGTTAGAATCACGCAAACCTCCGTCTCATTGTCCGTAAAACAAAATTAATTATTCCTTTTGTTTATTAATGCGTGTTTATATATGCAAATCTTTCTATCGAATGTAACGCAATTATTTTTTGATCGACGCTATTTCTCCGCATTGTTATTGATGTTATTGACTTTCTTAACCTTGAAGATATAATCGACTACGTATAAAATAAACATTTTAAATGCCTTTGACCCACGGGGCAGAACAAAAGAGAAACAAATGCCAAAGTTCCCCGCAAAAATTCCAAAGCCTTATTTGCTGTGAAAGAGAAAGAGAAACGTTGGCGAAAGAAAAAATTTTTATAATATTGGTGAGGAAGAAAAAACGAGAATATTGTTCGTTCTATTTTGTCTTTGACCGTAGAGTTGATAATTTTTGTTTTTATTTGACCATTCAATCGGACTCCTCGTATCATATTTTTCCTTCATTATCCATTTGTTTATTAATTTTTTTTTTTTTTCGAATCGATTGCCGAAATAAAACGCACGTGCATGGAATTAACGATGCTTTGCCTAATACGCGGAGTACATGAAATGATATAATAAACAAGTTTGTGTGCGAGACCTGCCCTATCGGATGCAAAATCAATCACGGTTGTTGGATAAGTCGATAAGCTTTTATTGGCTTATCCATTAAAGCTCGTGCTTTTACTTTTACCCAATTTCTCGCGTGAAGAGAAATGGGCGAGCAAATGAGGTGAGCGAGTAACGGACTTACGGTACTACGGTGCTCCCACGCCCAGGTCGGATGATTGGCCGAGCGGTGCCAGGGGCCTTGATGCAACTGACCCTCTGGCATCGCGTCCCTCCTCTCGTCCTCCTCGCAGGAGCTGCTCTCTCCGTCGTAGGATCTCATTTGAGCTCCGGTGTGCACTCGCCTCTGTGCACGGGCCGTTGTTGCCGCACTTCCTCGGCTGTGGACAATCGTTAGGTTTGTGAGTCAGCTATTGTCCCTTTTGATTCGTCCGTTAGCGCCCCGACCCTTCGACGACAGTTCTTTTGTTTCGTACGGGGTGACGATTACTCGATGGATTTATTTTAGCAGATCTGTTTTTATAATGGACTCTTCATGCCTACCTCTTGTATTCGTCTCTCGTCCACCCACCCTCTCGCTCCTCGACTACAATACTTTTAAATGTAAAACAATGGGTTGGCACGAAATGGCTCGGACTAATACAAAGTCGTAAAAATAATGAAGCTTCGGCTATTATAGGAAAAAGCTATTTGCGTAATATCATTCGGAGATGACGGCTATTTAGCATTAATTTACAATTAACATTTCACATCCATTGCTTCGCGCCTGTAAAAGTAACTTATCAGTGGATTTTGATTTTGTATTGATTTTTTGAATTATATGTTATTGTAATAGCGGAATAATCGTGTGAATACTCAGACGTAATACTGAAATACATTTGGAATTGAAATTGAGAAAATCGTAAAGTGTGAAGCAATTTATGAAATTTAAGAATATAATAATATGTCCGATTTTCCATCAAGATATTTCTTATGAAATATACATACATGAAATATGCATTTCTACGTAACGTGTATCTAATAATTAATATTCTTATTGATTGTTATGTGATTACACATATAATAATACATCTGTGAATAACGAGGATAACGAAGAAAAAGAGGTCCATATATATCTATATGTATAGAGTCCAGATTAAAAATAGTTATCTTGTCAGCTTACAGGATACGCATATATGCGAATGTTTAAGAGAATGAGAAAATTTTAAGCTCCCTAACAACATTTTACTTCTCGCAATGTAATCTAGTATCATTTTCTTCTTCTTCTTATTTTTATCACAAATATCATATAATCGAAGCAGAGCTCAAAACTATTTATTTATTTCAAATGCGTATTTACAACAATACATATAATCCACATAAGTGTATAGATAATTGTACAAACCATGCATATGCAGCTAATTATATTAGTTATACAGGCCTTGGGCTCATTGTAAAATAAATTATTGCTTTAACGTAAAGATATATAATGCCACGGGCGTATATGTGCATTAAACGCAAATGAGGCTGTATATGCTTGATAAAGGAATGATATTTTACAATAAATGTCGCGAAGGGCGTCAATAGCATTAAGCGGAACACTTGTCGCGCGTAACGAACAAGGTGCAGCTAAGTGCATTAACGCTTGGCAATAATTGACAAGGGATTGGGTATTCAGGAAGCACTCACCGGGAAGGACTCTTGCCTCTCTCAGGACGGCATCGACGACGATCCGGCGCACGGGCGCAGCTTCGTCACGGCGGCAGCATCACCGCGGATTGTGACGTCGAGTCGGGAGGCCCTCGTTACCAGCCGTCCGCTCAATCAATTAAGCGGACGCACGCGCGCCGAATCGCGGCCATTTTATTCGCGCGATGTAAAGGACGTTGGGCCCGTCTCAGTCTCGTTCAACGACGTCTGCCGCTCCTTAGGATGGCCCTCGTCCTCCCGTGACGGGCCCTCCTCCCGAGCTCGAACGACTCCAGGCGATTATACCGTGGGGACGTCTCGTTAGTGATAGAAGGGAAGAGGATGGGGACCGCAGACCGTTGATCGTAACGGCCGACGCGCACGCAGACACGTTGTTTAGGGTGTCAGCGGCGCTTCCAACCCCCGCGCGCTTTCCAACAACCCCCGGAGATGGCAGAGCCTGCGCCAGACGCTGCGCGCTGGACCAGCTCGTGGCGATCCCTCGCGAGGGGTTGAGATAGCTTCGAGGGTCGGAGACTCGGGTGGTAAGTGGCCGATGCTTGGTGATGATGGGAACGCGGCGACACGACGGCTGACTTGACCGGCCAACGATCTCTTTGCCGAGTCTGACTCTCTGCGCCTCCGTCACCTACGCTACTGACCACTATGGTCTTACGCTTACGAATTAACTTTAGTCGAGAGAGACGACGGTTGTGAAAGTTGTGTCGAATAGCCTTTTAATTATATTAAGTTTAATATGAGTCTATGAGAGATGCCGAAATCTCGTTGCTTCTCCGAACGTTGTTTTATATAAATTTCATGGTAATTGATTATGCCGAAGGCACGAATACGATACATTTATATGTATACGTATGTTGACGTTTTTCTTTTTCTTTTTTTTTTTTATTATTTTACAATAATCGTCGATTATTAATTTCATAAGACTGGCTAATGATTTCATCAATTTTAATATGAGACACAATTATTCGTATTACTGAGTTAGTGTGACGATGATAAGCTCGTATGATTAACGTTAATATTTATCACAATGATTTTTAATGAATATGAAGATGTACATTAATAGTTGGGCTTAAAACATTTAATTTAAAAGATAATAATTAATATTATATTGTAATATTTCGGACCCAAGGTATATATGATCTATGGCTAAGAAAGACCATCGTATCTAGAAGATCGTTATCGAAAGACGAAATCGTTTTTATATTTATTCACATATTTTATTAATTTATTTTTAATGAATAAACAAAGAGGTTAATACAATTAGTTGGAAAATTAACAATTTTCAAATCCTGCTAGTCAATTTTAAAATAACGCACACTTTTATGGGATAGTTATTTGTAGTATTATATTAGTTTTTTTTTTCTCTCTTAATATAATTTTATGTGTAATTGTAGGCCCTTTTGCTTCAATAAATATAAAATTAATACTAATTGCAGAAAATGTTTACTATGTAAACTATTTACAGATTTATTTATATTGATATGAAAGTCTATTTAATAACATAAGGAAATGAAAATGTTTACATATCTGCTAAAATTTCCTTATGATTATGTACATTTGTTATATTCAATTAAACTATATATGCTACAAACGATCTCAAATATTTCTTTAATACATTGATCTAATGAAAATATAATTATGATTCAATAATTCTTCAGAAATTTTGTATTGTGTATTGTTTTTTTGTTTTTGTTTTGAATTTAGAAAAATACTCTTATAAGAGTACTTTTATAATTACTAAAGCCATTCCAAATAACAAATGTACAAGTGCAATGAATTCCGGCATAATTAAATCAATTTCAATTAATTACACAATTATAATAAATTCAAGTAATTAAAATTCAATTATTTTGTCGAATAAATAATAAAAATTATATGAATATTTAGATACCTCATAGGGAATATTATAAATTAACATAATTCCTCGAGGATTCTACGTATTATTTTTCTTTATTATTTTTCGTTTGTTAATTCGAGTATTAATTACAGTGATTAAAAGTAATAAGAAAGTTAATGCTGATTATTATGGTAAAGATGAACTAATGTAAAAAAAAAAAAAAAAAAAAAAAAAAAAAAAATTATACAAATAAACCATTTGTAGTTTATATAATACTCAATATTTGTAAAAAAAAAAGCTTTATTTAATTTAAATTTCTTATTTTTCTTAAAAGAGTGTAATAAAATTATTCGATTCTTATCCTAACATTTGACCTTCAATGAAACGTTGAATAATCTAATGCGCGTGAAAACTTTTTCATTATTTATTTGTACAGTTTTATGGTGTGGTCGAATGGTTTATAAAGTATTTCATTAATTATTATAAGTGAACTAAAGTTTATTGGTGTAACGGATTACCTTATCGTATT